AGAATTATGGATATGACAATACTGCTTAGTAGACAGAAACAATATGATACAGTATTTAAGAATTTAGCCCAGGCGGTCAGATTAAGCTGAATTCAAATTGTTTGTGTATCTTTGCACAAACTGCTAAATAGCAATACATCTGTTTACTTTTCTGAGAAATCAGGATACCACCATCATCTACAACAAATTTGTTCTGAAAAAGCACTGTATTTTTACAATTTTTATTTATTTACTTACCTACTTATTATGAGAGAGAGAGAGAGAGAGAGAGAGAGAGCAAGTGTTCTCCTGAATACTGGTATACCCCTCAAATACCGGAAACAGTTTTCAGGAAGTACTAAAACCTGTTCTAGAGCAGTGCTATTCAAAGGGCAGCCCAGAAGGTGAATTATTCTCTTCCATAATAGTCCCAGCTGCTCCTCTTCTGATCCAGTTCTCTACTATGACCAGGGAAGGCAGCTGAGGATGGCCCAGGTGTTTGGACCCCTGTACCCACATGGGAGACCCGGAAGAAGCTCCTGGCTTTGGATCGGTGCAGCTCCGGCCATTGTGACCATTTGGGGAGTGAACCAGCAGATGGAAGACCTTTCTCTCTGTCTCTCCCTTTCTATGTAACTCTACCTCTCAAATAAATAAATTATTATTATTATTATTTTTACTTATTTGACAGAGTTAGACAGTGAGAGAGAGAGACAGAGAGAAAGGTCTTACTTCCATTGGTTGGTTCACCCCCCAGCACTATGGCCAGCGCTGCACCGATCCGAAGACAGGAGCCAGGTGCTGCTTCCTGGTCTCCCACGCGGATGCAGGGCCCAAGCACTTGGGCCATCCATCCTCCACTGCCTTACCAGACCACAGCAGAGAGCTGGACTGGAAGAGGAGCAGCCGGGACTAGAACCCGGTGCCCATATGGGATGCTGGCACCACAGGCGGAGGATTAGCCTAGTGAGCCATGGCGCTGGCCCCAAATAAATAAATAAATCATAAAAAAAAAATCAAGACTACATGTTCAGAAACTTTTATAGCGACTTGACATTGTTGATTTTTTATCTGTTGAACCTGAAAATAAACATTGTGGTGATCCTTTCCATTTCATGTTTTCAATTTATTTTTCCAGAAATTCAATTTTACTTCTTTAAATTTTATATATATATATATATATATATATATATATATATATATATATAAAGAGGGAGGAACACAGAGAGACAGAATCTGTCTATCTATGTTCTATCTACTGGTTCATTCCCTACATGCCTGTGACGGCCAGGGCTGGACAGACTGAAGGCAGGAGGCTGGAACTCAATCTGGGTCTCCCGCATGAGTGGCAGGGACCCAGTTAGTTGAGTCATCATGTGGTGACTCCTAGGGTGCACAGTAGCAGGAAGCTGGAATCAGAAGCAGAGTCAGGACTCAAATGCAGGCACTCTCATGTAAGATGTGGTATCTTAACCACTGCACCAAGGCCCACCCAATTTTTACTTTATTTTATTTTTTTTTTACAAAAGTATCGCTCTGTGACAGATTTGGAAATAAACATATAACAATGCTTGTCCTTTTTCGTAGTTAGTTTCAGAATCCCTGCTTTGGAGTGATAAGGATCCCAGCAGGGCAAGGGAATAGAAACTGAGAAGAATGAGTGGGCAAGAGTGGGAGAGAAGACAGAGGAAGGGCAACAGCCCTTGAAAACCAGACAGTTCCCTTATACAATAGATGAAGGTCTACAACAGATGGCGTCATTTGACCTCTTCACTGAATTACCAAACCACTCCCCAGACTAAATTTGTTCAAGACAGACATAAAAAGAAACCATGGAGTGGGGGAGGTGGTGAGATTTGTAGAAACCACAAACACTTCCTGTTCCTGCTTTGAGTTGTCTGGTTCTGCAACTACTGTTCTCTCCAGCTTCCCCCACCCCAGTCCCAGGGTTGCAGTGATTCCTACCTGTGCTCAAAGATGGCTTGTCCCACACTGGCCAGAGACTCCCAGGATACTAGGGATTTACTATGGAGGGTCTTCAACAGGTCTTTTTGATGTAGATGGGGAAATGAGAACCAAAAGAAAAGTGACTCGACCAAGGTCACCTGGCCTGTTACTAGCAGAGGCCAGGCTTTTACATCTCAGTAGCCTGGGAAAATGGGAGGCAAGCGAATTTTGTGGAACTCTACCATTTGTCCTTTGCTTGTTTTTTAAGATTTGAAAAAAAATTATTTATATTTACTTATGTATATATTTATTTGAAAGGCAAAGTGACAGAGAGAGAGGGAGACACAGAAAAAGAGGGTGCTGTGACGTAGTGGGTAAAGCTGCCACCTGCAGTGCCAGCATCCCGTATGGGCGCTGGTTCGAGTCCTGGCTGCTTCACTTCTGATCTATCTCTTTGCTATGGTCTGGGAAAGCAGTAGAAGATGGCTCAAGTGCTTGGGTCCCTGCACCCAAGTGGTAAACCTGGAAGAAGCTCCTGGCTCCTGGCTTTGGATCAGTGCAGCTCCAGCCGTTGCAGCCATTTGGGGAGTGAACCAGCAGATGGAAGACCTCTCTCTCTCTCTCTCTTTCTCTCTGCCTCTCCTTCTCTCTGTGTGTAACTCTGCATTTCAAATAAATAAATCTATCAATCTTTTTAAAAAAAAAGAAAGAAAGAAAACCTTCCAGCTGCGTGTTCAATCCCCAAATGCTCTCAACAACCCTGAGGAGGCCAGGTCAAACCCAGGAAATCCTTCGCGGTCTCCCACAGGCATAGCTGGGACTCAGGCACACAGGCCACCTTCCCAGGAAGCTGGATCAAAAGCTCTGGGTGGTAGCTGGGGCTCCAACCAGCATTCTCATGTGGAATGGAAGCATCCAAAGTGGTGGCTAAACCCACTACATCACAACACTCACTCCTTCGCCATTTACTCTTTCACATAAGGATCCAATTAAGTTATCAAGAAAACACGCAAGATCACCATATCACACAACTTCAGGGGACATCAGTCAGAGTGAGTGAGACACCAGAGTTGTGCAACTCAGCAGTCCAGGTTAACATCATTTAGGAAGAAGGAGGGCTGTCTTCTGTTTACATTTTATGTTAGATTTTGGGGAAGAAACTGGATGAAATTAATCTATATTGACAAGAAGGAGAAAGAACATCACTGAGATGCTAGCAAGTGCTAAGCACTGCACAGACTATCCCACTGACATTTTTTTTTTTTTTTGACAGGCAGAGTGGACAGTGAGAGAGAGAGACAGAGATAAAGGTCTTCCTTTGCTGTTGGTTCACCCTCCAATGGCCGCCGCGGCCGGTGCGCTGCAGCTGGCACACCGCGCTGATCCGAAGGCAGGAGCCAGGTACTTATCCTGGTCTCCCATCTGGGTGCGGGGCCCAAGCACTTGGGCCATCCTCCACTGCACTCCTGGGCCATAGCAGAGAGCTGGCCTGGAAGAGGGGCAACCAGGACAGAATCCGGCGCCCCAACCGGGACTAGAACCCGGTGTGCCGGCGCTGCAAGGCGGAGGATTACCCTAGTGAGCCGCGGCGCCGGCCTTCTCCCACTGACTTCTAACCAGAAATCTGTGATCCCATTTGATAAATAAGCCAAGGTTCTGAGAGGGTTCACATCACTTGCAGTGGCAGAGCTGCTAATTTAATAGAAATTTAATATTTAAACTCAAGGTCTTGCCATAAGATCACGCAGGAATTTAGGAGCCTTTTTAAAATGTTCTGCTTCTGCCTGCTATCCATGAACAGACACAGAGAGGGGATAGATTATCACAGTTCTCAGAAAAAGGAAAGAGGTCTTGGTTTTTGGGGTCTAGAAACCTACACAGGAGTAGCATCAAAAGAGCTTTCTGAATGACCCTGTTCCCTTTTTTTTTTTTTCGGTAGTGGTGGTGGCGTGTCACTCCAGCTGCTTCCAGAATTGCTTGTTTTAAGAGTACTATTCGTTATAACCACTTAATACAAGCCATTTATGGCTGATTAAAAAATACTGCATGGTAATGAATATTAAAAAATTATATCAACACGTAACAAATTTTCATAAGATATTGCTATGCATTATGGTCATCCAGTGGCACATTTTAAAATTTAGTGGAAAATGAGGTGACAACACTGTGTTAGAATGTGCAGGAAAGTTAAAATAGAACTTAAACTGCCATTTTGTATGTGGTTATTCATTTTTACTTTTAATATTTGCCCTTATTGTACTATTTATATGTTTACCTTGCTACTAACACTTGACATTGTGATACCACAAAAAGCAGAAAGACCAATTAGAGAATCCAAAGTAATCCATTGAGAGGAGGGGACCTCTCAACCCCAATATATGATGCATCTCACAGAAACTTGTGTGAATAAGCTTCTAATCTCTTCTGGCATCAGGGATTATTACTTGTTTCTTATAAAATCAATATTGGACTATACTTTTAAGGACTTGTAAATTTTATTGATTTTAATCAATAGGTGTTCCAAGTGTCATATTACTTCATTTTAAAATTCAAGGCTTCTAATTTCTGTCAAGTAGCTAAGCAGACATTTGCATTTTAAAATCCATTTGAGTCAAGTATAGGAGCTGGTGTTGTCTTCTTTTTATAGCATTTCCTCGAACTTTTTCACCTTACTAAATCCTTCCTAGTCCATATGAAATCTGCCTACATTCTAAACACATATTTATATTTATGTAAAAAGACAGATAGATAGTGATTGATAAACGATGGATGGATACATAGAAAGACAGACAGATACAACCTTGCTGAAGGAAGGGAGGCAAGTAACACAACAGGACCACTTGGAGGAAACAGCAGAGTTGTTGGATACAAAAATAAAGAAGGTTGGTGGACAGAAGGAGAGTTGTAAATGGAACTATAACGACACACACAGGGACACTCAGGGAGATAAAAACAAAGATACACAGACATAAGCCACTCTCCCTCTTTCCTTCCTGATCTTTCCCAAGTCTCCAAGTTTTCTTTGGGCTCTTTCTGTAAACTTGTTTCCTTTCCCCAATCCTTCGGGCACCTACTTGATATGCTCAGCGTGTCCAGAGCCTTCGATGGTCTTGGCTCCCCACCGTTGCTCCTTCTCAGAGATGTCATTCTGCAAAACACAGCACTCAGCAGTGAGAGATGGCAGGAAATGTTCCATTCTAAGGGGGGCGCATAACGGGTGCACACACCCTTTACATTCCTGTATCAGCTGCCTTCTTTAATCTTTACTCACATTCCTCTCTCTATTTAAACACCTTGACCCCACATAGAAATGAAACTGGTGTGTTTGGAAACTCCCCTCCTGCCTTGCATCCCTCACACTTTCCCTTTCCTGTCCCCCCTCCAGCCCCCTAAAATATGCAGCCCAGCCCAGTCCTGGAGGCCCAGATCCACTCGCTCCTTCCCTTCAGCACAGCCTGCCCATCACCCTGTCGAACTCACTCACTTCACTGTCTTTCCATTTCCAACGTGCCCCACTCATGACAGCCAATTCTCCTCCCAACTACTTGTCCCAGATGATTTTGTCGAAGTTCCCTCAAAGACCATAAGTTTCTGGGCTCCCCACACAAGCACCCTCTTCACTGAGCAAGCCAAGCTACTTCCGAACTCACCACGAAGTCAGGGTCTGTGTCCCAGTCATCACCCTGGGTCTCCACGGAAACAGATACATCATGCCCCACTACGGACTTCCACATCTGAGGGGGACAGCAAACGAGAATAATTGAGGACAAGAAAAAAAAAACAGGAGGGAAAACTATAACGCTGAAGTCAGTGGTACAGCAGCCCACGTGTTTCCTCCCATTTTTTATTCTGTGGAAGTGGAAGTGAGGCAAAGCAGATGGAAGCGCTCAGCCAGCAGAGGATGGAATGGGGTTTAAGACAAAATGTGGCCTGCGCCCTCCTGAGTCTGAGAAAACTCATCATAAATGTAGGCAGCACTAAATAACCTGAGTGTCACAATGGCTGGCACTGTTCGCGTCCAGAGGTCAACCAGGGAACAGCTCGAAGGGGTCATCAGTGAGGGGTGCCATTTCATCCAGATTTGTACACAGGATTCCTTTTTTGTTTTTTGTTTGTTTAAAAGATTTTATTTATTTTAGAGAGTTACAGACAGTGAGAGAGAGACAAAGAGAAAGGTCTTCCTTCCGCTGGTTCACTCCCCAAATGACCGCAACGGTCAGAGCTGCGCCAATCCGAAGCCAGGAGCCAGGTGCCAGGTACTTCTTCCTGGTCTCCCATGTGGGTCCTGGGGCCCAAGGACTTGGGCCGTCTTCTACTGCTTTCCCAAGCAACAGCAGAGAGCTGGATTGGAAGAGGAACAGCCGGGACTAGAGCCGGCGCCCATATGGGATGCTGGTGCAGCAGGTAGAGGATTAACCTGCTGCACCTTGGCGCTGGCCAGTTGGAGCCTTTTTTGGCTCCAAACTGGTCCAATCCCTGACAAAGCGAACATCTCCACTTCTGACTACAGCCTGCTTAACTCTATTGAGATTTTTTCCAGCCTCAGTCCAAGTGCTGTCCCACGTTCTCTTTTTTTTTTTTTTTTTTGGTCAGGCAGAGTGGACAGTGAGAGAGAGAGAGAAAGGTCTTCCTTTGCCATTGGTTCACCCTCCAATGGCCGCCACGGCCGGCACGCTGCGGCCGGTGCACTGCGCTGATCCGAAGGCAGGAGCCAGGTACTTATCCTGGTCTCCCATGTGGGTGCGGGGCCCAAGCACTTGGGCCATCCTCCACTGCACTCCCTGGCCACAGCAGAGAGCTGGCCTGGAAGAGGGGCAACCGGGACAGAATCCGGCGCCCCAACCGGGACTAGAACCCGGTGTGCCGGCGCCGCAAGGCAGATGATTAGCCTAGTGAGCTGCGGCACCAGCCCCACGTTCTCTCTTGAGACTGGTCACCGCACAGCTTGGGAGGTCAATGGGGACAGTCAGCTGAAATGCTCACATCCAACAACATGCAGGGAAGCATTAGCTGCTGGGAATAAGTTACTCATTACCCAACTTTTAAAAGCTGTCAGGGGTGGGAGTTACAGTGTATTGCTTTAAGCAGCCTTGTTCAACACCCACATCCCATACTGGAGTGCCAGTGCAAGTCCCGCTACTCTGCTTCCAAACCAGCTTCCTACTAATACATCCTAGCGGGCAGCACATGATGGCTCAAATGCTACCACCCAAGTGAGAGACCTGGAAGAGGTTCTGGGCTGCTGGCTTCAACCTGGCTGGTGCACTTGGAGAGTGAACCAGTGGATGGAAAATTGATCTCTCTCTCCCCCCGACCCCAACCTTATCTCTGTCTCTGTCACTTTGCCTTTCAAGTAGATGAAAATAAAAATTTACAAAACACAGCAGCAGCTCTGAGGCCCTCTATGGACTGGCTTTAAAAAAAAATAAAAAGTTGATTACAATTCTAAAAACATAAATGGTTCAAAGCATATCATGTATTTTACAAATAATACATCCTTTATTTTGACCATTAGGAGGCATTGGATTATTAGCAACAAAATGAATGTTTAAAAAATTTACGGAGTACTGGTCTGAAGGGGTTCCAAATCGTATTCTGTTGGGGCATCCCCAGTGTACCAGTGAGCCTTGCTAACTGTGCGAGAGAAGGAGTAGAACAGCTGCTCTGGGCTTGGTAGGAAAAGGTGCCAATGGACCACTCATGTTTCCCAGGGCCACTGAGACTACTGGACTCAGGCACCGCCTACTATCTGGAAACTTCCCTACCCATGTCCCCCTTCCCAGAGCCCTTCCCCCAAGCTCTTCAAGGTCCCTGCAAGGACCCCCATTTGCCACCCCTCCTGGGGCTCTCCTGTCTCTCCACCTTGGCCCTTGAAATTCTCTAGTTTTCTCTTCTACTTGAAAAGTCCATCCTTTTCCATAGTCTTTGAACAACCCTGAAAACCAGCCCCGGGGAAGTCTCTGGTAGATTTTGGTTACTGAGATGCTCCAGGGGCACTGGGGAAGTATTGACCGAGGCGGCCTTACCACGGGGTGAGCCACTGCCCAGAGCGGCTTGGTCTTCTCTGGGAGGGCAAAGTTACATAAAGGGGGCAGATAAACAAGCCCTATCCTCCTGCATCCTTTACAAGCCCTCTGCTTCCCACACTGGCTCCTGGGCTGCTCTGCAACAAAAGGCCTTCACTACAAAATAGGAAAGGAGAAGTTTCTGAAATAGTCGCGAGCAATAAGGAAGCAATGAGGACCGATGGCTCCTTCGACTTTCCTGCCTTTCTTCCCAGCCTCAGCGCGACTTGCCAACAAACTTCCCATCTGTGTCTGTCTACTTGTGGCATAAAGAGTTGCTGACACAGAACAACTGACCTACTGACGAGAAGTTGGGAAGGCAAAGGGTGCTCTCTGGGGGCAGGAGACTAGAGGGTGATGTGGAGAGGCATGGCCCCAGGAGGTCGGGCACATCCAGGACCTCAGCTCAATGCTGACATGGCAGTACATGACCTAGGAGCCAGGAGACCCGTGAGCAGCCCAGCTCTGTGTTGGAGCCTCTGTGGGGCCATGGTAAAGGAATCAACACAGAGGATGTTCTCATTTGCCAAGCAACAGACAAGATGGTTCACAAATGTTCATTTAAATGATTTGGCAAACCACCTATTATCTCTGACTTCCTCAACAGAAAGCAAAAGTAGGGGTTAACTTAGCTAGTCTAGAAAACCGACTCCATCTCTGACATTCTGGGCCTCGATGATCCTATAAGCACAGGAAATACCCCAATCCAACCATCACGCCTTCCTCAGGCCTCCATCAGCAGCTGGTTCTCAGCGCAAGTGTGCATGAGCAACTGTTTCCTGTGGGTTTTGTCTCTTTGCCGGACCGTGTTTTCAAGGGCAGACACGGTCTTTAGAGCCTGTACCCCTCCTCCCAACTTGGCATCAGGCCTCACGGTGGACTAGAGATGGCCAGATGGCCACTAAGTCACGTTTCCAGGGCTTGAGCCCTTCTGTTCCAATCCCCAGCTGCTTGTTCTCTACAACCCTTCCCCACCCCCTACCCAGCCTCAGGCCTTCTGACCATAAAAGGTTAAACGCCTACTGGCAGTGACCTAGTCCCTCCCTGGGGACTAACACTCAGGTGGTTTCCTCCTCAACCCCCACCCTGTGCTCCCAGCTCTCCCATGGCTCAGAGTACCCACCTTCACTAGCGAGGGTGTCTTCTCTAAGCTCCAGGCTCCTCACGTCCACACCACACTCCCTGTCTGGTTGCTGCCACTTCTGAGCGAGAAACCGAGCTGCTGCTTCAGTTCCGTCTTCAGGTTTTCTGTCATTTCCTGCCACACTGTCCTCACAGCTACTTCCTGAAGTTGGAGTCAGTTCCTTCTGCTTTAACCACTTAAATAAAAGAGGATTAAATGTTTCTCTGTCTCTTCTTTTGTAAGCTTCTGAGGATTGTGGGATCGGCACGGAGAATGTTGCTCCAACTTTCAGACTTTATCAAGCAGTCAGAGAAAGCTTCACTCAGAAACCCATCAGACAATGCTGGAGAACAGCACTTGTGACCTAAATAGCTGGTCAGTTCCATCTGTGACAGTAAAGGCATCCGGAGCTTCTGGGAGGGGCTGTGGTAACCAAGAAAGGCTGGAAGGGAAAAGTGACTGTGGATTTTGAAGGGTAAGCTCTAAGAACAACTTCTGCATGACCCACAGCACTCAAAAGTAGGGTTTGCATATAGCAGATGCTCAAATAAACATCACTCACCTGAATGGCAGAAGGGGACAAGTCAGGAGGGAAAGGGCAAGGCGTGGAGGAGGAAATGTTCATGTTGGGGACAGTGTGGCATCTGAGCTCACAGGTGAAGATTTGGCTCCAGATAGTATGGAGAATTCTGAAAGCAGCAGGTGCCATCAGTGGATGGAAGGTATCGGCCATGTCCTGTCTTAATATTTGTCAAGACTGGCTGTCCTCCCATCCCTCGACAAATGTGCACAGGTGACAGGTACTGGCCAGGGAAATACCCCCTTTTTGGTGGAGACCTGAAGCCCATTGCAAGCTTTGCCATCTCTTTCGCTTACTGCACACTGAAACAACTTGTAATTCTCCAGTGTAGCTTCTCTGCTAGCCTAAGTTTCCTGAGCGACAATGACAACACGAGTACAGCCCCATCTATCACATAAGGGACTTGGAGCCTTTAACTAAAAAATAGTCTTTGGTTTCAGCTACCGAATTTGGGTGTTTCTTGTTGTATCTGATCTAGCCCCACCTAATCATGTCTGCAGAGTTTGGAACTGATTTGCTTGTGTAAGTCATGAGATCCACAAGGGGTTCAAGCAGGACTGGATAAAATTGGTCAAAGGTCACTTCCAAATCTAAAGACCTAAGTATGGATCTATCAAGTTAGAGTAAGGACCTATCTCTTCTAGTTCATTATCTATTTATCATGGTGGCACCAAAGTTATGCTAAAGGAGAATAAATTTGTAGGAGGAGAAAAAAATCTTTCAGATCATTTGGAATCTAAAATGTAAAAATAGGAATTATCAGACCAGATACTGACATCATCCAGGTACATAATTTGCTAGAGAAACCATGGAAATTATCAGAGATGACACCAAGAAACTCCACCTCTTCTTAGCAAATATTCCAAGTTCATTCCGAATGAGGGATTGAGGCATAATTAACAGAAATAGCATGGGATGAAGCTGGCATTGGTGGTACAGTGGGTTGAGCCCACGACACGCAATGCCGGCATCCCATATAAAAGTGATAGTTTGATTCCCTATTGTTCTGTTTCTGATCCAACTTCCTGCTAATGCACCTGGGAGAGCAGCAGATAATGGCCCAGATGCTTCAAACTGCCACCCATGTGGGAGATCTGAATGGAGTTCTGGGTGCCTGGCTTTGGCCCAGACCAGCCCCAGCTGTTAAGGTCATGTTAGAAGTGAACCATTTTTCTCTGTCACTCTGCCTCTCAAATAAAAATAAATAAATAATTAAATCCTTAAAAAGAAAATACCATGGGCTTTGAAGCCAGACACTTAGGCCCATTACTTTAATCATCATATCTTAATAAAGTATGCTAGCTTTTTCCAAGCAGCAACTTAATATAAAAATATCATGCTCACTAACCTGCTCTCTGTATTAAACTGCCCTCCCCCTATTCCCACCACTGGAATCCCTGCGGGGCCTAATCTTTTCACTCAGTACCAGTACCAGTCCTCCCAGGACCACAGTGAACCCAGGAATTTCACGCCCTAAGACCCAGGCTGTGTGGTTCAGGATTAGAACGGGATTTCCTCATTGTCCTTCCTCATCCTAGGGCCTAGCAGCTAAAGCTAACAGGATACATGGAGCCATCGCTGATGCGGCCAGCGAGAAGGAAGCCTGAGTATATAGAGCTTTCTCCCATCACCACTCCTGGGTACATCCCCCTACCCCAATCCCTTCATCTACCCCCCTCTTCCTACCTGCCGAAGTGCAAACACACATACACACACAGATACACATAACGCTTCATTCGGAAAATAAGTTTATTATTTTACAGTTGTTCAGGAAAGTCCCTGGGATGCTGTGACCAAGATTCAATCACCATCGGACCAAGATTTAGAGCAGATGAGACACCTACCAGTTTTCCCTCTTCCTTGGCTGGTGCCAACAGGCAGGGAACATACAATGTCCGCAGTGAGAAAACCACCAAGTGGTAAGGGCTGGGGAGGGGAGGGGAGGCAGCAAACAGGCACACGTGGAATTCAATCCTGGTGGCCATTCTCAGGGCTGGATTTCAATCTTTTCTCTCCTCTATTATCACAGAGGCCAGATGACTCTGGGACCGAGAAACTGGAAGAACCGTCGCCAGTAGCAAAGTAGCTTAGTACTGCAGGAGGCTGGGAGCTGCGGGGCAGCCGCCAGACCAGTCAGACCCCTGGCTGCGAGTTGGTGCTTCCCCTTGGACAGGCTCCTGCTGGCCCGAGGGCGCACTCTCCAGATCATACAGGAATGAAAAGAATCCGAACCCTGCTGTCCACAGCCAGTATTTCCTGTCTCAGTGAAAGGCAAGGCACTGATTGCTTAATACTTTAATACTCGAGATCAAGGGCACCCACTGTGATGGGAGCTTCGCCTCACAGCCCAGGAGCACAGATCCTCGCTGCAGCGGGATCAGAACAGCCTGGGAAGAAGCAGCTACTCTCCCCCGTGATCCAACAGCCCAAACCCGGGGGAGCTCTTCAGCATCAGACCCAGTGACACGTGCTATCAGGCAACGGGTTCCCCCTCCAGAACTCTGTCCTCGGCAGGGGCCATTTCCACCCCCACTCCCCAAAGCAGGAAAAATATAGGCAAATGTGACAAACAAGGTCAACAATCAAAATAATACTGGACTTGAGTTACTAGGTTTATTGGAACCATCTTCCTGGCTTGGCCGAAAGGCATTCCTCAGTATCTCAGATGAGGGCCCAGCAAGATCTGAACAAATTTGACCTCAACAAACCTACTTGGGGCTTCTGAGAAGAGGCGGAAGTGTCCGGGCTGTGGGCAGTAGACGAATGCCGACTTGCCAGTCCCTCCAGCTCCACCAGGCGCTCCTGGCCACCTCTGCTTTGCAGGCACTTTCTGCGGGAGGGCTGGAGAGACGCTGTGGAAAGGGGATGACTGTTCCACTGGATTCGACACTTCCGCCATCAGAGGCGAGGGAATTCCAAAGTCGGAGGGGAGCGGTCCAAAAAGTGACAGCTAAGTCTACAGATGGCCCGTGAAGCACAGAATGAGTAGCACATGAACCACCAGGAAGTAGATGGCTGCCAGCAGGGGCACTCGGGTGCGGGAATGACAGAGCGAACGCAGGCCCCGCTTCCATCCAGCGCCACTCCGGCTCTGAAAGAGACACCTGGAGTCAAGGTTCCATCTACAGGGCCGTGCCCCTTTCCCTTCTCCAGTAACCTGCACTTCGGCAAAGCCGATTCAACCACGGGGCTCTTGGGAGAAAGCTCCTGCGGGGACAGCAGGGTGGCAAATTCCAGCAGGGCCCCCACTCTCCCACCCCTGCCACCCCTGCTGTAGCCCCGTGCCGGGTTCAGTGTCCGACTTCTGAGCTCCTGTCCTCGACTCCGTGGCCTCACCACCGCCAGCGCCATCTGATGGACTAGCACCCTCCCTTGCTCCTCCTTCCCCCTCACCCTTCGACAGCTGTTGCTCGTAAGATCTATTAACAGCGCCTGCTCCTGAGTGCCGCAGGAGCCAATGATAGGAGTCCGGGCAGAGTCCCACTCGCCGTGCTCCAACCTGTGTTGAGGACAAGAGAGACACGGCATTGGTTCACGGTGCGAGAGGTCAGTGAGGTGAAGTCGTCCCGGTCATGGGAAGCAAGGCCGCTCCCCCCGCCCCTGTCCCCGTCCGGGGAGGTTACCAGCACAGTTTCTCTGAGCAGGACTAAGAAGTGAGAACAATTATCAGCAACCAACTGTCTACTCTGTGTCAGGTGCTGCACCAGGTGCTTCACAACCGCGAATCCTGCAGCGTGGCGGTTGGCGTTACTCTCTTCAAGGCTTCAGGAGGCTAAATGAGTGCCCGATGCATCGCAGCCAGCGTAGGGCCGCAATTCAATACCCCAGTCTGTCTTTAAACCACCTGCTCTTTTTTTCTCACTGCACCACACCCGATTCAGAGAAACTTAGGACTTTCCCCCCATTTATTAAAGAGCAGTACGCAAAAGTGTCCAAACAAGATTTTTTGTGGTTTCTTGAAACTGAACTGGCAGCCTTTACTCCTTTCTGCTTTATTTTTGCAGATCTGCTTATTTATTTACTAACAGAACTTCTGTTTAATGATGAAGCTGCCCCTACTCGTTCAATGGTTCCTGACAAAAACAAGAAGTGTGGTAGCACAGCACCTGACCGAGTGTTTGTCCACAGGGATGCACTTTACAACCGGATGGGGAGGATGGAATTCGTGCTTTGGCTACCTGTTAGCCTGATACTCGCGGCCACTCTCTTTGCAGGTCACTCACGGTTCTCCCAGATCCGACTGGAGTGTGGACAAGGAAACTGAGCATCCTGGCCTAGCTCCCTCCTGCCTGTTGTCTTGCGACCCAGGCTGTCTGCAGAGGGATAAACCTTTCAGAGGCGGCCTTGACCTGGAACCCTGTGGTCTGCCAGCCTCCTCAGCCCGTGCTGAGGAAAGATGAGAGGTCTCAAGGTGTGGGGGAGCCGAACAGTCCTGGCTGCTTTTAGACTGCAAGGACAATGAGTCCCACTACAGGCTACCTGTGCAACCCTCACGCTGAAATGGCAGTGCCTGCCCTAGGCTGACAGCACTTAAATTAGCTACCCCAATCTCCATTCTGTATCAGGGCCAAAAACGGGATTGCGGAAAGGCTAAGCTTGGATTAATGGAGCTTGCCCAGGGCTCAAGAGTCAGTCTGCACATGTGGTCTCCTGCTGACCTGGGCCAGGTTAATTACACATAAGGGAGATTTACCTCCTCATTAGCCAATTTCACAGGACAAAACATCTCCAAAGTAAGTAAAAGGAAATAGCCATGGGTGCAGAGGCCTGAAAAGGCTCAGCAGAGACACCAAGACAGGAACCTGCCCTCACAGCTGTCCAGCAAGGTCCAAGTGGGTGAGTTCAAATGTAACAATGTGAATGTGCTGCATGGGAAGGAAGGTATCTCAATGAAGATCTGCTCACTGGGGCTGCCACCTCTACCGTCTAAACTTTGCAAACAGGTACAATGCCAATTCTTTAAGAGAAAAGACAATGCACACAGGGAGCCTTCCCTGAAGTACCCTGTAAAAGGACTTCCAGCAGAAAAACACACAGCCACCCTCTACCCTCATGCATCGTGATTTTCTCCATGGGTGAGCTGGGAACAAGGAACTAGGGATGTGTAGCTCAGCCCTTCCAGAACACCCTTGCAGCAAGTGCCCACAGGATGCACAACTCACTCTGTTACTCTGGTATTCTGGTGTGGTAA